AAAGTTAACGCTTACACTTAAAAGACCAAAAAATAAAAAGTACGTACTTACACAAAACTTTCAACTAACATACCTATCATATATCTTCTTCTCCCACACCCTTTAATATAACACTACTTTTCCTGAAAGCATAAAACCAAATCATTACACTTGTAGACAAAGACATTTGAATGGGTTACGAATACGAGTATATAATATATGACTTTTTACATCTTTGATGTTACTTTTGAACTGTGAGATTTGAAGTAATTATCCACCAAAGTATTTGTAGGTAGATATATATATATTTGTGATGCCTGTAGTAGAAGTACTGGATTTTACCTCCGAAACTTTTAATTGTTGCTTCCACATTATTTCTCAAACATTAATGGACTATTTAAAAATAAAAATAAAATAGTCATCTAGCGCGTGGATGATTAGTTCGGTGAAAATTGTTTGAATTTATGTATAACGTTTATTGTATGTGTAATTAAAAATGCGTACTATTACATAATGCAGTATATTACATTTAGGCAATGTTCAAAAGAGTTATTTGTAATAGGAAAGTCGTAATCAATCAGTCTGTCTGTCCCTATGTATGCGTCACTACATAGTATAAAACAAAGTCCCTCTATCCCTATAGAGGGACAGAGAAAGCGACTTTGTTTAAAAATTTAAGCATACATAGGGATGTATGCTTAAATTTTTAAAACTACGCTACGAATTTTGGTGCGGTTTCTTTTTATAGATAGGGTGATTCAAAAAGGCTTTCATTTATAAATACATGATCACGCAGGTTAAGCCGCTGGCGGAAAGCTATTTGGCCTATAAAATATGAATCATATATTGTAATTATTAAATTGAATCGAGCTGTGTTATAAATATTGTAAAGCAAACAGTTTTGTCGTCCATTGCCACTCTCATATGTATCATAGAGAAGTCTTCTGAGTAGATAGATACCCTAAAGACTAAGCGGCACCTTTCGGGAAGTCTCACACGATGTAGTCATTAATTGTATTTGGGATGTGACGACCACGCGTCTTCGAACTTCTAATTAAAATACTTCGAACTTCTATAAGATATGGATTTATTTAAATAAATAAAAATATCTCCCAAGCTGTCCGCTTCACAATATTAAACACGTATTTTTTTTATTTTTGCGTAATAATAAATTAAGGCGATACACCATCATCGTCATCTTTCTGCCCTGCAGAGCGATTCTGTAAAAATCCGAACCAGAATTCATATTCACATCATTTAATGAAGAAATTCTCTTGATTCCATTTTTTGTACAAAAATACAAAACAAAATTGATTGATTGAGCGTGTCTCAGATATTCTATTGCTATGTGATTTCAAAACTTACTTCACTTGAACATATACCAAGAAATGATATAACCAATTCAAGATTAAGCGGATGCGGCTTTTTGAAGTTAATTCGGATGCCTGAGTGAATTCGGAACCGCAGGGAAAAGCCCTGCAGTTTTGTAAATTCGGGTTTAGATATACAGAACCGCAGGGCTTTTCCCAGTCTATGTTGTGTGTGTCCTCTGCTTCCACTCCTCTCCGTCAGCTGTCATCTCATCACGCACTGCCTTCACTTTCATATCATGGCTCACGCAGTCTAACCATCTTTTATGTGGTCGACCTCCATCCATCGAAATTACGGCTATATACTGTGTTGAAATATCGCCTTTATACATTTTCTACAAAGTTGTGACGTAACGAGACCCCACTCATCAACTTTAATGCCTGTTATCTATTTTTTGTTAAATCGAAGCTATATTTTTCTATTATCTGATTAACGGGCTACAATATTTAAGCAAAGCAACTTAAACGAACACGGTTTTTTTTATATTCTACTTTAAGACTTGACAGAATAGACTAACATTCTAGTACTTATATACGACGTGTGTGTACGTTACACTTGCGGACTATTCACATTCCGACTATTAATAACAAACGGAGGGCTCAAGACAAAAATGCGTGGGGGTCCCACGCATTAATGCGTTTGTTCCACTAAATAAAAGTCCCGAGTATTTTTAGTAATTAAAAAAATCCGGAAATGTTGTTCACATTTGTCACCAAATTCTGATCCGTAGTGTAAACCTTTGAAGGACCAGTTTGACAGTAGACCAGCAGGCCAATTCTGCAAATGTTTACGGCTTTTAAAAATATTTTGCCATTGTATCATCTACCTATCGGGCAGCTATGGTCGTCGTTTGTAAAATAAATAGTCTGCTTGATGGCTAATTGACATTTATTTATAATACTTGTTACACGTACAATAATCATTATAGTTTCCTTGAGTGCGCGCCATGCCGGAGAGATCGATTACAGAAGGAAGTTCACAGACCAGGTATGCACAGAGTATGTAATACATGTAATACTATCTAAAGTCCGATATTATTTGTGCAATGTCTTCCTCGCATATCGATGGTGACAGATATATAATAATATTATACTTCATGTCGATAGTACAAAGGCAATATGTAAGTTGATTGATATTCCATTGAGATGCGATAGAATATCACCTAAGTACTTGCATTTTGAAACATTAACAGTGCTTCTTATAAACAAGGTTTGGCATTGGAGCAAATTTACGCGGAGACTGCACTTAATATCAGTCAAAATTCATATTTTTAAAAAGATACTTAGCAAAGGTTAACCTAGTACGAGGTTCGACGGGAGTAACATTTACTCCTAGAAGGTAATAGGTTTGCTTATTATCTGTGTAATATTTGGACTAATACTAAAATTGCAATTTTAGCGTAAATTAACTCTGACGCTAAACCTTGTATATTATTAACACTGTTATAGAATTGGACTGCTGTTTTTTAACGTCCAATGGAATTTTCAAATGAACGCATACGCAATTCACTACGTTGTTCCAATGCTCCGTGCAAATGATATATGGTATATGGTCACGGATTTTTAAGAGGACGCCTTAAAGGATCAACACTGATTCAAATAACTTAACCATGAGCAAATAATTGTAAAGCTAAATAAACTTAAATAACGAGAAAAATACTTAGATCGCGAACTCGTTTTTAAGATTGCTTCTAATATTCGTTTCTTCGCGTAATTATATTCTTTAAATGGTGAAAATAATGAAAAGAAGAGTGCACTATTACCCAAAGCATAATTATACAATAATATATAAGTTATTAAGTACATTTAATTGAAAATAGTTTTTCCTTTTCGCTGTATTTCGCGTAAATCACGCTCAAACAAGGTGCCTCATCACGCCGCCATCTGGTCGTTTGAAATTTCGAACTGATTATTTTCACTGTCCATTTACCATTACTTTTGGGTAGGTACATTTGAAGATTAGGAAGAGACCAGTGATGAAACGAGCTAAGAGATTACCTATAGAATTGAGCTTTAAAGGTTAAAGATATCTATAATTAAGCTTTCGGGTAGCAGACGCAAGCTGGGAATTCCGCTCTTTGTCTATGCATTTTGGAAAATATAGATGCAGTTATATAACACATAGAAATGATATAGAACACATGAATGCAAAGTAAACCGGCAAGCAAAACAACTGTACATCAAATGGCGGCAATAAATTAGTTTATGAAGAACGGTTTTTACTGATGTATCATGACAATTTACACAAGTTCTTGGCTCTGTATTCCACTGAATTGAAATTAGTAAGTTGGTATATTGTTGAACAGTCAGTGGATAAGCGGTCCGCGATCGTTGTTGTTAAGCGTCTTTCGCACGGGTTGGTCACGGGATGGGTGACCAAAAATTGTTTTATTTCGAGTTACTCCGTGCTTCGGAAAGCACATAAGGACGCTGGTCGCAGCTGCATTTGCAAACGTTTTACCTTCCGATCCGCATTGGGTCTGCGTGGAGTGTTATAGCCCATCCTCCTTAACTATCCATAAGGAAGGCCTGAGACCCTGCAGTGGGAACGTAAAAAGGCTGATGAAGATGATGAAATAAGCGTTGATGTCATTACTATATAAGATGTCCTGTATTTTATAGCAATACAAAAACATATTGATCGCAGTACAAGCCTCGAACTTATAATCCGAGGTAAAGTTGAAATTGCCTGTTATGTTACATTACATTGGAAAGCGCAAATGACGCATCGGCATAATAGGTACCTACTTATCTACAATTTACCACTGAAACTTGTCTAAATACATATCAATTTGAGTGTGATTATGTCGTTACTAAACAATTCAGTACTCTCTCTTGTTTTTATTGAAAAAATCCAACTCCAATGGTCTTCCAATGGTCTAAGTGAATCTGTTCTTGGAACCATATCTAATGCACTTAACAAAGAGTAATTGTACTTAAAGCTTCATTATTAATATCCATCGAACTATTTGACATAGATTTGCAAATATCATAATAACTATGATGATCAAACGTTCCTTCAGCTATAGGTATTTCTCCTCGACTCAGATACGTGCATGTACTTAAACCGAATACCCAAAACAGGATGGTACTTTGTCGTCCATCAAGTCCCAAGTGATTATAAATAAACCACTCCAATACCATATGCAGCTCTTGTCCACAACAAGCTATGAATCCATTAAATCTACCTCATACATCAAACTGTCACTTTCAAAATAAAACCGCAGTCGCCTAGCAAGCTGTAGCTATTTATCGCGATATCTCACCCTCGTCAATGCCGACAAAATAAATAAACGCACACGCCGAACCGCGCCCGGATCCGGCGACCCTTCTCATACCGTCTCACGTGATCCAAACAAAATGTCCGTTTATTTTTCTATGTGAGACGCGCTGCGTAAAAAACAACACTCAGATCGACCGAGCTGTCGGCTAAAATGAGATAGAAACACGCGACGGCTGGTTGGCAGCGGGCGGGGCGCCTCGTCGCGCTCTCTGGTTGGCTCTCACCGCGCATCGTCCGCCGCCCGCGTTCTACAGCCAATAAGATCGGCTATCACCCGCTCCCCCCCGCACCCCGTCAGGCTCAAAATACCGACCTTTCACGAATGCCGACACGATTCGATACGACCGAAAATGCCTTAGTTACTTCACGTTCGCTCTGTGAGGAGGTCGCTTTCGCTGACGGTTTCAGTGAATGTGCTAAAATTCTGGATTGCAGTGTTTTTTGACATTCAGTGATGTTTATTAGTACTGTTATTGAGCAATATAGAAGATAAAGAAAATCAGCTAATATACTCAGGTAAATACGTCAAATATATCTATTATTATACCAGAATGTAATACAATTCCTGTGATATCGATACAAGTATTGGTTTATCCAATAATCACTCTGTAAACGCAATATTATTACACCGGATGATCGAACGTAAAAGCGGTGTCCTCGTAATCAACGTAGGCCGGTCGGTGTGGCAACGCCGCGCGTAAATAATAGGGTAGCGCGCGGTCTTTCTCTCGCAGCTGGCGCAAAACGGCAACGTCGCGCTTATGCCTCCACCGCGCCACACCGGGGAATCGCCCGCCGCTCCGCGCTGCTGAGCGAGACGCATTCACTACAGAACCGACGCAATATACCTACCAAGCCGATATTATTATCTTCAGACACAGTATTTGCTTTAGAGCAAAATATGTTATTAGCATCAAAAATCTTTATTCACGACATAATGCTACTACGTGTATGTGTCCATATGTTTACTATTGTAAATAGGTATATTATGTACTTGTTTATTTAATTATATAAACAAGAAGTTATATAAATTACAATAACTCATTATGCATAAATAAGATGAATTTATAAGTACTGATACTTATTATTCTCTCTGTTAGTTGTACAATACTGAAAACATGAACAGCATGATGAAAATAAAACTTGTTTACAGATATCGAACCGGTGTTTGCGGACACGTAGCGCACTCTATCGGCATTTGGCGGAGTAAGAAGTGTGCGGGTCGCGCGGGGCAGAGCCGCCGCCCCCTTCTTCAGTTCTCCTGCGATACCGAGAAGGTTGGACGTATTGCTGCGTTCCGCAAAAAAAGATCGCTCGCGCGGCAACTTTGACAGTGACAGTGTTCGAAAAGTGTGCCGTGTCAAATAATGTGTACTGGATTGCAGTGCTTATACAATCGGATGCAGTGATTATTGGATTACACTTATTGGATTGCAGTGTTTTCTTGGATTTTGTGTATAACTCAAACCTTCCAAACTGGGGATGCATAAGATGGAGTTGGGTGACAGCGTATACGCCGCCGAGCGTATAATGAAGAAAAGAATTAGAAAGGTGAGCTTTACTTCTTTCATGAAAACTAACATTGCATGCTAACCTTGCGAAATATGCACCCGAGATCACATACCGGTCGCAACTTTTATTTGGCCCGTCACATTGTGCGATTGTTTCGCAACGGTCGCTCTGCTTGTTTTCGCTTGCATCGAATTTCAAAACATGCTTGCATGCTTTAAAGAAAAAAATGCATGATTGTGTCGTGATTATAATTTCAATTTTCGTGTGTTAATCCTTGTATTGTGAGTGACGTTAGTAGCAGCTGTACCGAAATTATCGTAAGGGTTTTTGGGTTTCTTTTCATGCGCACTTTTCATTATTATTCTCGTCGCCCCTTATAGAATCTTATGTTCTGACACCGAGGGAAGGGTCTGGGAAACTGAATACTTCTTTAGAATAGTTCCCTTCTTGAGATTACATTTAGTTTTTGACAGTAAACAAGTTTGCACATTGGAATTGTGATGGGTAACCTTGGCTACAGATGTCACTTTTTATGCATGCTCTGTGCTTTTTAATGACACTTTTTTGCGAACCTGATTAGTACTCACTTAACACGTTATTTCTTTCTCATTGCATGGCTTCTGGCCTAATCTTTGCTATAAATTGTAATCTAATTTACAATAAGGCTGGCACACATAATAAGTAAGACATGTGGCATTGCTCATCGTGTCTTCGTTTACTTTTCATGATATTATTCTCCTTCATTGAAATACTTTTTAAATTAATTTGTTCAACACCTTACGTAATCTAGATTTATATGTGTAATACAACCAGTTGTTATTAGATTACAATTACTATAAGATCAAACCAAATTCGATTTCTGGTAATTCACTGTTCTAAAAAAATATATTAATTTAAAAATCTTTGAAACAAGGTAAGTGTAATAACTCCCGTAGATCTGATTTCGCTAATTTTATTTATATTGGCAACTCGATGTCGTTTGAATTAGTAATATATTTCCACTTTATTATTTACGTGATGCCCAGTACAATGGCGCTTTGATAAATCAATGAAAATAAACACTTTTGTCATTGAACTGATCTACAAAACTAGAGATATTGTAAATACCATTGACATGTCATAATTACATTTAGGTTGGGAGAAGGAGAGTCTTCTCTTTCAGCACGAACGATATTCCGGAAAATTTCGAAACGTTCATATGATTTTGTTAAATGATGCATCAGAGGCAGTGTCAGGTCATCTGTTGCATCATAAATTATAGAAAAATGCGATAAAAAAAAATAGACAAAATTTTGCTATCGCATAAAAGAGTAGGCCTTCTAGTTAAGCTGATCCATGTTTATTTATCACACAACTGTGAACACTACAGGTAAGTTTTGAAGGAATATACACCAAATAGGACACCTCAACTTTTGCAGACATTGTTTCAACTTTTGTTATAAATTGTTATCTTGGAATAAAAATTGGTTTTGGTGGAAATTCTGTTGGCACAAAGTGGACTTAATTTGCTTTTAATCATATCAAAGAAAATAACGTTTAACTTAACCCAAAAATGGGTGCAATGGAATTGGCACTAGTATACACATTATTGTGCATATATTTAGTGTACACATTTATTATGCACTTAAATGTTAATGGACAGTAAATTTGAAGGAAACCGAATGGTGGGAGGTCATGCTGTTTACCAATTGTTTAATTAGATATTCTTCAAAAAATTACATGTAACAAGCTGCTACATATTTTAGATATTTTGATTATCTATATTTATTATTGAAAAAACAGCCCTAGATAGAAACAGAACTTGCTTTTTGTAAAAATTCATCACTATCAAACCGACACTGTGGTCGTTAAACTACGACAGAGCACAAATACAGAGCAAATAATATTGTATATTGTGGGTATTAATAAATATTTTTTATGTCGCTCAATATCTATCTGATTAATGTTGTATTGAGATGTTAAATATACTAGTATTTATCTAAAATCCAAACACATATGAAAAGAGGAGCTTTTCATAATGATTTCTTTTTATAGTATGTTACTTTTCTCCTTTATTAACCTTTATGTCTACATCATTTATAGTTATATAAGATCATAATAATAGGTCATTATCAAATACTAAGTACACGTAATCAATAATAGTCTGCGTCGATTACAAAAATTACTTCTCGTCGGCCCAATCATGTACGCGCTAAAAGATATCCTCATAAAAAAATTTAAAGCCTAATTAACGTTAATCATATATTAAAACCTGAATCAACACGGTCACAAATTATCTACCTGCCCCTTAAAAGTATCAGTTACGACTCCCTAATTAAATTGAAATAGGCAATTCGTAGACCGTAAGTTCCCAACGCTCACACTACCGCCGGTGTCAAATTTAGGAAACTACTCAATAATAAAAACAGAAGCTTCGAAGAAACTTGTACTGTTTTGCCACGCGATAAGGTATATTTCACATTAATATCCCGACACCTCGTTATCTAGCGGCATGGCCTAACATAATCGTATCTTGAAATATTTAAGAATTTCGACCTTATTCCTACGACAGAGAGTCGAAATTTGTTAGACGACATACTTTGTTAAAGCAACTCCTACAAACCTCTGCGGCCCTGGTATCTCGCCGAGAACGCGCCAGTATTCGGCTTCAGCCGAAGAGGCAGCCAGTGCGCAAGCGCCCCGCCAAAGCGCTCGACCAATCAGCGTTGAGCACTACTTGGTACGGACAAAGTACCCTTTATTGCATAATGTGAATAAAAATATGTTATATCTGACACTTTCTTGAAAAAATGCTATATTCAATAAAGTTAATGATACCCTATGCATTTCTTACAATATTGCGAATCCTGAAATTATTTGTAGTTATTAACCATTGCTATTTGGTTCTTGATACTTAGCAGACGCCTCACCACATAGTTCCAACATCATTACTTAGATGGCGCTATACTTAATTTTCTTGAAAGAGGTAAAGAAATCTGTAAAATAATTTGATATCTTAAGAGTTTAGTCACTTCCAATAATTTACTAAGTTGTGTTAATGCAATTTAATAAAAGCACATTTTGTTAAACTATGTATAAAACATGTTATGTTTGACAAAAATATTTATTGTTAAAAATCAAGAAATTAAAATAATAAATGGCTTAGTTACGGGATCGATTTGGATTTAATTATTTATTACCTGTTTACCTTATTAAAATAATTTATGATTTATTGTTTTTATTACTGATATTTTTGTTATAATTAAAATATTATCATAACAGTTGCCTGATACAATTTATACTTTTGTAAATTCCATAATAAAATATTTTCATTAATTCAGTCATCTTGCACACTTGCTGTTTCAAGTAAAAATACATTGCAGATAATTCCTACGGCATAGGACAGATGGCAGTTATTAGCAGTTATATATTTGAAGTACATTTATGTAGGTACCTAATTTCATTTGGAAATGTTTACTGTTATTATTTTCCTTGTAATGCTTTTTGGTTTTAAACAATTTCTTACTTCTCGTAGAAAAATACTTGAACAAATTACCAATTACCTGAAACAAGCCGATTTCTTATATTTTTTAGGTTATAACAAAAATCACGTTCTCATGAGGAAGATAAGGATAATAATAAAAAAATACGTATTTTCAACTCTTACACCAAAACCTAACAAAATCAGCTGTCGATAGACTATATTCTAAGGTTCTATCAAACGATCGGTATATAAAACTACTGTCAATATGTCGAATAACGGTTTTTTCTGAAAAAAAAAAAAAACTACAAAAAAATTAAAATACCGTTATCAAAGGATCGCGATGGCAAAGTGTGCACTCGGAAACGGGACAAAGCGACCAAATTTTCTATAAATAATCGCCTGACAATACCCGGGCGTAATTTTATCCGTCCCTATATCGGAATGAAATAAAAAAGTGCGAACCGAACTGAGGCGTGTGTGGAGTCGTCCTTTAATATAGTAAGTAATATTGTATTACACCAATTTTGTATCATTGAATTTCACAGACAAAACATGTTTGTGAATAGAAAAATAGGACACGTCACCATCTTTATAACGTAAGACTTGAAACGCGATGGTGTTGATGTTATGTAAAACATGTTTTGTCAAAATATATTAACGCAACGACGTAATCGTTTGTAATAACAACTGCTTTCAATTCGATATTTTACAAATTAGAATCGAGTTTAAACGGGAAATTGAAAGAGTGTACCTAAATATTCATATTGAATGATACAAAACATTGTTTACTTTCCAGATTCTTGTATGCTTATTACGCTGTGGTGTAGAATTTTAAATTTTAGAAGCCTCTATTGCCGTCGCTATTATACCCTCAATTATAACTAAGTCTTTATATACAGTGTAGGTACGCTGTCGCCCCACCGAATATAAAAAGAAATCGTACATGTAGGGTCCCCTATATTTGGGAAGCATGCTTAATCGCATCCACGCACGCTCCGAATATTAACGTAGTGCCCTGAATGGGGAACCATCATGTGGGAGACGCACACAATTAAAATCCAGTTGCCATTGTCTCACAGACACACACGCAATTCCATCACACAATTCAGAACAGCAACAGCGGACGACATTAACAATCAGATAGTGTGTGCATAACTATTGTCTTCACCTGTCGAGTAAAATTGATTTCCAATATAATAATGGCCATTAAAAACCTACTCGTTTTTAAAATTGGAATCTATTCTAATTTTAAAACTGTCAAAATTAAAGGGATATATAAAGACAGAGAAGCTTGACATTATATTAATGCGCTTGTTGCATCAGCAACGGTCGTTATGCCCCACGCATTATTATGTAAATGTAAAAGGAAAAGGAAAGGACGGTGCTTTTTTATTCGCCTCTTTATCTGATGGTAGATAAAGGTGGTAATTAGTGAAGGATAGTTGAGACGGCGCCGGTGGTCAATTTTCTCATGAATGATAGTTTTCTAAAAATAGTTTGGACAAATACTCAGAGGGCACAATTTGAAGTTTACTGGAACGTATTTCCACAAAAATCCACATATGCAATTTTCGAG